AAACAGTGCAGTAAAGAAACACAGACTTTAAAGTGCTTTCCTACTCTTTAATCCTCTTCAATATGCCTCTCTCTCTCTCTCTCTCGTTTCCCTCTCCAGCCCCATGATGGTGATAACACAGAAGATCACCAGTCTGGCGTTTGAAATCCACGACGGTAAGCATAATTTCGGGGTTGTTGTAAGAAGGACATCTATCTGCACTTTATATTCAGTTTGGATTTTCCTCGTACAGGAATGGCTCGAAAAGAAGAACATCTGACTCCAGGACAGAAGATCTTGGCGATAAGGTTTGTGTCCCTGTTACAGTGTGTACGGATGTGATTTAATGTCTGTTAATACTGGTCCCACAGCTCCCAGTGTACAAACCAGTGTGTATGTGTGTGTGTTCAGGAGGATGCCCAGTCTGCTGGAGTACTTCAGCTACAACTGTAACTTCATGGGGATCCTGGCCGGACCCACCAGCTCCTACAACGACTACATCGCCTTCATCGAGGGAGACCCCCGACGCCATCGGGACTCGGACGCCGACAGGAAGTCCAAGCTGAGGCAAAGCGAGCCCTCGCCAAACGTACGACACACAAACACAAACACTGTCAGCATCAGAAGCATCGGTGCTGTAACACCAAGTCTCACACTCACTGTTCATGTGACCTCTGCTCAGCTTTAGAACACTGTAAAACCATTCTATCACAACAGAGGCTGTTAGCTGTAGCTGTTCTCACTCTCCTCAGATGGAGGTCGTCCGGAAGGTGGCCACCTCCTTCTTCTGCCTCCTGGTCTTTCTGTCGGTGTGTAAAGTTTTCCCTGTAGAACGAAACATCGACGACGACTTCATCGCCAACATGCCGTTCTACGCTCAGGTGATCTACCTGTACCTGTCCATGCTGACCACCAGACCCAAGTACTACTTCGTCTGGACGCTCGGTGGGTGTCTGAAGCCTGTCTCACACCTGTCTCACACCTGTCTCACACCTGTCTCACACCTGTCTCACACCTGTCCCAGTCTGTCTCACATCTGTTCTCTTTATAACCTCAGCTGATGCCATCAACAACGCCGCCGGCTTCGGCTTCAACGGCTACGGCGATGACGGCTCTCCTCGCTGGGACCTGATCTCCAACCTGAGGATCCTGAACATCGAGGTCAGGACTGATTATTGATTAGAAGTCTTTGTATCACTGTAATTATATTATTGTATAATTGTTGTCTTTATTGTTTGTTTCAGTTAGCCACCAGCTTCAAAGTGTTCCTCGACAACTGGAACATTCAGACTGCTCACTGGCTGAAAAGGTCTGAACACATTTATTATGTTTCTGTTGTGTTTTTACCATGATGATGCTAAACTACAGCGTCGGTCACACAGTGAAATCATTAAAATGTTTAATTTACAGACTTTAGGAGACTTTCAGGTTTAAACTGAAACTTTAAATAATAAGTTAAATTGATTTAAAGTTCAGAACAACACATTAACTGGCAGCTGGCTTTAGCCACCAGCTTATTTAATACATGAAAGTGACAGTGAGAGAAAACTGTATCAGAGGAGAGCAGCATGAAATAATAATAATAATAATAATAATAATAATAATAACAAGAAGAAGGGTTTCATCATTAAATGTAACTGAAATCAATAATTAAGTCTTGTTGAGTTACATATTGATCTGTGATCAGTGAGGCTGATTGATAAACTTTAGACTTCTGCTGCCATCTGCTGGTGGATCTGCAACAGGACACATCAGTGTTCACACACACACACATACACACACACACACACACACACACGCATGCATGCATGCGCACACACAACTCCAATACACACACACACACACACAACACAACACACACACACACACACACACACAGACACACACACACACACACACACCACACGCAACATTACACACAACATACACTCACCACACACACACACCATACACACAACACACACAACACACCACACACACATACCACGCAACATACACACACAACACACACACGACACACACACACACACCACACACACAGCACATTACAGCACACATACACTCACACACACACAACACACATACACACACACGTACACACTCACACGACACACACACACACACACACACTGCTGTTTGCGTCTTCCGTGCTGGTTTGTTATGAGCGATGTCCCTACCACCCAACAGCAGCGACCTTCATCCTGTCGGCGATGTGGCACGGAGCTTATCCCGGCTACTACCTCACCTTCCTCACCGGCATCGTCATCACGCTGGCTGCTAGAGCGGTGAGCTAATGAACCGCTGACTGTTGTTAGTCTACAGTTGATGTGACGTTGAACTCGTGATGTTGAACTCTTCCCGCTCTCAGGTCAGACACAACGTGCGGCCGTACTTCCTGTCGTCACCCACACACAAACTGGTCTATGATGTCATCACGTGGGCGGCCACTCAGATCGCCATCTGCTACACGGTGGTACCGTTCGTCCTGCTGTCCGTGGGTCCATCCATCAAGTTCTACAGGTCAGTAAGTCGGGTTCAACCTCGCCTCCGTCAGCTTCCACTGAACATCATCGTAGCCCCGATCTGACAATGGATCAATAATCAATAATCAATGATATTGATGAGGTTGTAGCATCCTCACCTGTTCCTCCTCCCTGCAGGTCCTGGTACTTCTGCCTCCACATCGGCTGCGTCCTGCTGGCCGTGGCGTTGCCGGTCAAACCGAGACACCTCCGCCTCAAAGACCAGCAGAAGAACCTCCTCGGGGAGCCGGTGCAGCGCCACCCGGAGGCCACAGACAGCAACTGCAGCCAGAAGGAAAAGACCACATGAGGACGTCAGGACGTTATATTTCCATGTACAGAGAGACGAGGACCGAGCTCCTGCGCGGCGTACAGAAACAAGTTAAATACTGTATTATTTGGATTCACGGGACGATAACGGGCCCTGGATTTCAAAGGCCCGTGTTGATGAAGTGTTATGTCTTTACGAGGAAGTACGACTGCCGCGACTCAAACTCCAGAAGCAACAGAAGGGACATATATATAAATACATATATATACTGTACGTTGACGTGGAGCTGCTGTGTGGGAGGCCGTCAGAAACCTGCTGTTCATCTGCAGAAACAAACGAATAAAGGGAGGAATAAATGAAAGGATGGACAGAATGAGAACTGTTGGGTGACGGTTTCTCCTCCACATTCCTCCCAGACTGCCTGATTTCACCGTCATCATGTTATAATCTATTAAACCGCCACGTCACAGTGTTCATAGAGAAAGTGCCAATGATTATTCCACTCAGTCGCCTTAGTTGTTCTGTTTTTTTACAAGAAAAAGTGAAGTGCTGCTTTGCAGGATCAGTATTTACTCTGGAGGAGGTTCGTTGTGTTTACATTCGTAGATGTCAGCTTTGGTCACGTCGTTATTTATGTGATTTATGTAACAGACTCGTGGTTTGATGTGAGATGTTTGCGGAGGTTCAGCTTTGAAGAAACGCTTCACAGAATTTTAGAAAATTCTAAAACTCTGTAGTTTAATTTCAAGTACAGATATCAGATTAAGTTTCTCTTCTATAAACTCACAACAGCAGGAAGTGAACCCAAGGGTTAGCTCGTTTGGTTCTGATTAAAGGCTCACTTTACGGTTTATCTAGTTCGGTTCAGTTAGTGATTAAAATTTGAAGGTTAAAAAATTAACACAGTCACAGGTAGAGGAGTTAGCTTCAGGTTAGCATTACAGAAGGTACAACAACTGATTCTGGTTAGCAAATTATTCAGTTTAGGTAAAAAACATTTGTTTTGGGTTAGCTAACTGTTATTTGATGGTTCATTTTAACAAACAAAATGTTTTTAAGTTAGCTAACAAGGTACTTAAGCATCTAACGCTAATGCTAATGCTAATGCTCGAGCTTAGGGGCCAAACTGTTAGCTTCAGGTGTTAGCTTCAGGTTAGCTGCCACTGCATTAAAAAAGCTAAACAAATTGGTGATTAGCAAATTATTCTGTTTCAAATTTTAGTTTGTGTGTTAACAAACAGTTCAGTAGAAACTAAACCAGTTAGCTGACAGCACACTGTGACCCAGTTGGTTAAAGGTTCAGTTCAACACCTAAATTATATTTTAGCTTTGAACTTTTGGTTTCATAAGTGAATCATTAAATTGTTCTTCATTGATATTTATTAAATGATGTATAATGTCAGTACCAACGCTGTCAGTCAGTGTACAATCAGTGTCTATAACTTCATGAATCCTTCTGCCCCTGTTAGTGTTCTTCATCAATAAAACGATTAGAAGAGAAACAACGAGATAAAACTATTTATTCACTTTCCCCCACAGCTGCTTTATTGTCTCCTTCAAAAATCAGGAAAGAAAGTTTTTTCATTTCCTGTTTCCACATCTGATTTTAGCGTTTATTTGTGGACGAGGACGAGGACATTGTGATGATTTGAGATTGAACAGTTAATGTCCTCACAGCGAACCAGCCGCCTCTCTGTAGGTTTGATATGGACGATATGTTTGTTTGTTTTTTGTAAATTATGTGATTAAAACTTGGATTTTTTTGACACTTGACATTGCCGGTGTGTTCTTCTGTTGGTCGTTGATAATCTTATGACATCCTGCTCACTGTATGTTTGGGTCATTCACATTTATTACACGTATTAAAAAACAAATAAAAAACAGGTGATTATTTGATTTTTGTTTTAAAACACAAACATTTAATACACATTGTGAAGATTGAGTTTGGGCGGGGCTCAGCTATTTCACTCAGAATGGGACCATAATTTACTAAATGAACATCATACTGAAGACTGAAACTAGAGACTGAGACCATAAACTCATTCAGTCAGAAGTAAGATCAGTTCATTAGGTTGAAAACAGTTCATTTAGGAGCCAGCTGGAACAATAATCCACAGACTGTTGATGGTTCACAGCTGTGATGGGAAAATAAAGATTCTGTAAGTCAAAATAATGAGAAAGTTTGTCATTATTTTGACTTACAGAATCTTTTGTGTCCCGTCACATTGGCAGAAATGATCTTCCGTAGCTTTGGACCTGTGTAATGCTGCAGTGGTTGCAGTGAACAGGAAGATAAGGGCTGCCATACTGTCTGCACTTTAAACCATAATAAAGATAATAAAGTGAGACTGGACCAGGCTCCTCCTCTGACTCTCTGCCACACTGTTAATAATTATATTTATTGCTCAGATAATACACTGAGTCGGGAATCTTAATGTTAATAAAACAACACACATCATTAAAATCAACTGAAGGAAGACAAAATTTAAATCCAGTTTAATTTCACTTCTATTGTTTACACTGTTTATTTGTGTAATACAGATGTACAGTATTGTAGTAAATGATTAAGGCAGTAAATATACAATATATACAGTAAATATATAAATGTCCTCTTCGTGTTCAGACTAACTGATGAGCTCATTACAGAACAATGATTAGTGTTTCTGTTGATAACATTTAATGTGTTCCTGTACTTTCTCTCTCTGAGTAATGAACGGAATATTTGTGGTCTGGGTTTATCAGCTATATTTATAATTAAACGTTTATTAAATAAATGTTTTAATTAACAGCAAATATTCTCCACAGGAAGCAACAAAAACAACACCTTCAAAATAAGTTACCACGAACAGTCTACTTATTGTTAGGTAAAAACAAAACAAATATAAGTATGAATGAAGTTAAATTAATTCACTGTGGTTATCAGAGTCTTACTGAAACTGAGGAAGAACTGAATAATCCTCAAAAAATAGGTTTTCCCCTGTAAAGCTCGTCGGACTGTTCGGTTACTTTGGTGCTCACTGCGTATGCTTTTATTTTGACAGCAGCGACCGGAACAAGCAGCGGTGATTTTCGCGGGCTTTGCGCAGTGGCGGGCTGTTGTTCTCACTAAGATGGCGGCCGTTGTTGCGGATGGAGGAAGAGCTCCGCTTTGATCCGGATACAGGCCGAACACCCGAGACCAGAACCCGGTACCGAGACCCGCTGCTCCAGAACCACGACCCGGGGACACAGGCTGGTTCTCTCTGAAGGTAAACCCGCTTAATGTCTTTGTTTTTACCGTCAGCATCCTCTGCTGGATCGATCCATTATTGATTGACACTTGTCACCTCGCAGACCCGATCAGACCCGATCAGACCCGATCAGAACCGATCAGACCCGATCAGAACCGGTCAGAACCGGTCAGAGTAAATCAGAATAAATCATAATAAATCATAATAACGGTTAAATGTTGAATATCTGGAGCGCTGCTGTCTGTGTGTGGTTACTGTGAATGACAGCTGACTGAAGGTTATTCAGGTTACTGATGTAACAACACTGTTAATAACATTAAATACTAATATAATCATTATAACTAATGTAATTAATATCATTATTACTATATTACTATATTGTTATGTTCAAATGTTCATTACATGTTAATAACAGGGCGTGGCCTCATTCTGCCATAAAGGATCATCATTATTAAATAAAATCATCTGTATTTTAATATCATTGAGCTTTGGTATCTGCCTTTAATTATCATTAACTATATAATATATATATATATAATATAATGTTATAATACAATATAATATAATATATATAATGTTATAATACATATAATATAATATAATATAATGTTATAATAGCAATATAATATAATGTAATATAATATAATATATATAATTTATAATACAATATTAATATAATGTAATATAATATAACTATATGTCTATATAATATAATTATATATTAATATATACAAATAATATATATAATGTAATATAATATAATATAATGTTATAATAAACTAAATATAATTATAATATAATATAAATAAATATAATATATAATACAATATAATATATAATTATATATAAAATTATATGATAAGTTAATACATATAATATAATATAATATTAATGGTATAATACAATATAATATAATATAATATAATATATATAATGTTATAATCAATTAATACAAAAAAGATAATGTAATAATATTAATAATAATATAGATGTAATATAATATATGTTATAATATAATATAAAATAACTAGAATATAATTATAAAATATAATATAATATAATGTAATATATATAATATAATATAATATAATATAATGTTATAATAAATATAATATAATATAATAATATAATATAATAAAGAGACGTGTGTTGGTTTTATATTCACTACAAAGCAGGAGGGGGGGTGGGTTACCATGGAAACAACAGATGATCCAGCCCAATATTTGATTATTGATGATTGATTAATTGCCTGGGAGACTGTTTCCATGGTGACGGCTGCCCCTCGATTGGGTGGCTATGCTGCTGGAGGATTGTGGGTAACGTAGTGATTAAAGCAATGATGGATTGATGTGAAAGGAGGCTGGCAACAAGACAGGCTTCTGATTGCGACGGTGGCGTTTCCATAGTGACACAAAATCATGACCGCCTCCATCATCACCTGCTGTGTGTGTGTGTGTGTTGTGGGTGTGTGCGTGTGTTGTGGAGTGTGTGGTCTCTGGTGTGTGTGTGTGTTTAGTGTGTGTTACAGTTGTGTGTGTGGAGGGAGTGTCTGGTTGTGTGGTGTGTGTCTGTTGTGTGTGTGTGTCTGGTCGTATGTGTGTGTCGTGTGTGTGTGGTCTGTGTGTGTGGTGTCTGTGTGTGTGTGTGTGTTTGTGTTAGTGTTGTGTTACAGTGTGTGGTGTGAGAGTTCTTGTGTTGTGTGTGTGTGTGTGTTGTGGAGTGTCTGTGTGTGTGTGTTGTGTGTGTGTGTGAGAGTGGTGATGAGTGGTGTTGTTGTGTGGTGTCTGTGTCGTGGTGTGTGTGTCTGGTGTGTGTGTGTTCTGTGTGTGTGTGTGTGTGTGTGTGAGAGTGGTGGTGAGTGTGTGTGTTGTGGGTGTGTGTGTGTGCAGTGTGGTGTTGTGAGAGTGTGTGGTGTGTGTGTTGTGTGTGTGTGGTCTGGTTGTGTGTGTGTGCTGTGTGTGTGTGTGTTGTCTGTGTGTGTGTGTGTGTGTCTGTGTGTGTTGTGTGTGTGTGGCTGTGTTGTGTGTGTGTTAGTGTGTTAGTTGTTACAGTGGTGTGTGTGAGAGTGTCTGTGTGTGTGTGTGTGTGTGTGTGAGAGTGTGTGTTGTTTCTGTGTGCGTGGTGTGTCTGTGTGTGTGTGTGGGTGTGTGTGGGTGTGTGGTGTTGTGGTTGTGTGTGTTGTGTTGTGTTGTGTGTGTGTGTTGTGTGTTAGTGTGCTGTGTGGTGTGAGGAGTGTGTGAGTGGTGTGTGTGGTGTGTGTGTGTGTGTGTGTGTGTGTGTGTGTGAGAGTGGGTGTGCTGTGTGTGTCTCTCTGGTGTGTGTGTGTGTCTGGTGTGTGTGTGTGTGGTGTTGTGTTTGTGCTGTGTTGTGTGTGTGTGGTGTGCTTGTGTGTGTGTTTGTGTGTTGTGGTGTGTGTGTGTGTGTGTGTTAGTGTGTGTGTTGTGTGTCTGTCTGCGTGTGTGCGGGTGTGGGTGTGTGTGTGTGTGTGTGTGGTGCTGATGAAGTGTGGTGGTGTGTCTGTGGTGTGTGCTGTGTGATGAAGTGTG